CAAAACAAGTTGTTCTGTCAAAATTAATAGAAGTCAATGAGACCAGAAGTAGTGACACATTTCAGTTACAATGTTTATTATGTGAAAAATAAGGTGGATAGGTCATAAAGACTCAACTTTTTAGTCAATAAAATCAAGAAAAAGTTCAAAATCTTGGGAACTGGTGAGATTTATAGTCTAAGGGGGAAAGTAACTAAAGAAGTCTGTGGTATCCAACATTTTTCAAAATATCTTCTAGCTTTTGTGTCCAACAAAAGAAACTCAAACAGATCTGGAACAAGTGGTTGTGAGGGAATGTTTATTTTCAGGTGAATCTCATTCTGCAGATTTGAATCGAAACAACGTTGGTCTCCTCCAGCGCAGATAAGAGCAGCTTTTGGTGAAATGCAGGCAGGTTTATTGAGAGCACTGAAACATCATGCTGTTAGTGGAATGAGATTAAAGCCAGGCCTGCTGCTCTTCTGTCCTTAGGAGTCCTTGAGTGGTACTGTTCGCCTCTCACCTCAGTCTTTTGGTGACAACCTCATCCTGTTTGTGTGTTCTTGTAGCTGAGGTGTCCATTTTATCCGAAGCGGCAGTTTTCTTTTGTAAATCTTTGACGTATAATGCTGTGGTTGTTGTGGTGAAGTGCAACAACAAGCAGTATGAAACATTTGAGGCCGGATGAAACCTAAACCACTGTGAATGAAAAGAGGATATCTAAATCTGACACCGGCCATTTGTTGGTTTGTTTGTTAGGGAACTGGTTAAATGTAGCCACTAAACTTGTGACTGTTTTAGAAAGGCTTTTTCAGTCCTTAAGTTATTTTTTGGCTTTGCCTTCAGCTTCAGAAAGTAAGAGCGCCACTGAAAATTAATAAGCTTGTGTGGAAAACTTGAGGATTTGTCTTTGAATACAAAATCATAATCCATACAGTTTTCTTTTAGATTCAGTTATGCAGTTAGCATTAGTGGAAAATATGTTAGACAATATGTTTTGATGGCGCTAGACGGTGGTGATTCTGAGTACAGATCGTGATTGCATATACTAGGTAATTGAATATAGTGTTTCCCAACCCTCTTCCTGGAGGCACATCAACAGTACATATTTTAGACTGTTTGTACCTTATCTGACCCTTTCATTTCAGGTTTTGGGGTCTCTTCTAATGTTCTGATGAGTTGATTTAGGTGTGTTTGATTAGGAAGAGGTTTAAAATGTGCCTTTAGGAACAGGGTTGGGAAACACTGATCTAATAAACTGATACACTAAAATTAAAAATCAAGTAGTGGAAAAACATGGTTCAAATGACTTTATATTGGATTTAATTTCTCCTTTATTTTATGTCTTTGTTTGTTGTCACTTTTATATATAGAACTTTATGGAGTACACATAATCTCTCTCAAAGCAGCTTTGTGGTAGCAAACAAATTAAAATGAAATGAATTTCCTCAAATGTGGAAAATAAAGTGTTTTCTTTTTCAGCTCAGATTAGTTCAGCTTTTGTTCAGTTCAATAACTCAGTTCATCAGTTATGAAATAAGTTCAGCTCAGCTATAAAGAGATTCAAAGACAACAATAGTGTCAACTCGAGTTTCCTGCAGTGTAATGTAGCTGTTGGTGTGAATGTGAAAGGTTTGCTAATTTTAAAGAACACAGTGCAAAGTATTTCCTATAAGAATTGAATTGAACTACTAAAAGGATTACTTAAGTATAGTAAAATGCTTGCCTAATGCCTGCCTCTTATAAGACCAACTACAAACAACATCTTCTTAGAGCCATCCTCAATCGCTTTAGTTGGCTTGTGTTGTCAACATCATGTTGACAAGCATTTTTCGATTTTCAGAATGCAGTCTCACCTCAGTTCTTAACTTTTTGATTCAGTGACTGATTGAATTTGTATATGAGCTCATGATTTCTGTTCATCTCTAGTGACAATTAGGTTTAGAGGTGGGGTTTGGGCATGCCTCCTTTTAAAATGTGTACATTTTTGTAATGTTTAAATCATGAATTTTTCACCAAATAGTTGCTTTTTCTTGTAATATCAGGCTGGCTTCTATTGCAAGGTTCACAAAAAGTCCTCATACAATCGCTGAAGCTGCGAAAATATTTGACTTGAGTTGTATCCTCACTTTGTTGTTTACAATGTGATAATTTGTGAATGCATAGAATCAGTCACTGAGTCACTGAGCACTTGCTTTAAAACAAAACTCAAACTGTTCATTAATTGATTTAATTGTGTTTTTGTTCCTTTATCTTGAAATTGTAGTGCTCTATTTTATGCAACAATTCCTTGTAAACTTTACACCTCAATTAACATACACATTTTAATGCTATATAACATCTCCAGATGGACCACAAGCTAAGAAAAACAACTGAGAAATGCCTTTATCAAGTAAAACTTGTGGTGGAGGTTCTGGTCGATCATCAAATTATTTCAGCGTTTCATTATTAGATTTGAATTAATGAGGATAAAAAACTATCTAAGGAATCTTAGCTGTCCTACACTGTATACAATCATTAACTACTGAGAAAACCTCCAGAAATATGAAATATGGTGAGGGGTGTTTGAGTGGACACCCAGAAAGGAGGGATTAAGGGGGGAAAAACTAAGGGTCATCAAACTGATTGTGACCACTGAGCTGATGCTCTACTCAATATAAAGTAAAGAGAAAAATTAGGATGTTTTTGACTTTAGAGACCTCCAAAATAAAAATAGTTTTAGTAGCTTAATAATTGTACTTTTATGGGTGTTTTAAGCTTAAGTTACATCCTAGTTGTACTTTGATATTGTACGATTGGAAATATGGTTTCGAAAGAAGAGATGGAGATGTTTGTGTCTTGATCTCTTCACTGTTGGACTATTATAATGTTTAGTAAACTTGTCTAAACAAATCATCTATGAAGCCATTACAAGTTGTGCAGAAAGCTGCTGCAAGGCTGTTGACTAACACAAGTTGCACATTACTCCTGTGCTTTAGTTTCAAAACTCCCCATCAGTTTTTGAGTTCATTTAAAGTTCTGCAGTGTCAGGCTCGCCTTTAAATCCAATAACTTTTATTTGCACACTCTTATTGATCGTTTTCATGTCATCACACCATTAGGCAGGCAAAACATTACTCTCCTGCTGACCGCCAAGTCATGGGCTGAATTGTATAAGATATTAAGATATTGTAATATGCAGTAAGATAATGTGTTAATAAATTACGTGAGACAAGCCTGGGCTGTGCATCTACAGAATTTCAAAAATGAGCCATTTATGGATTTGTGCTGAATGGCAGCATCATTGGCCCATAACAACAAGCCCCGTAGCCAGCCTGGTGAAAGGGGATGTTCTTTTATTCTCATTTATACAATTATTCTTATTTTCCATTTAACAAGGAAAGTAAGTATTTATACTTTAAACAGGGGCAGCATGGTGGCACAGTGTTTAGCACAATCGCCTCACAGCAAAAAGGTCGCTGGTTCGAGCTCTGGCTGGGTCAGGTGGCATTTCTGTGTGGAGTTTGCATGATCTGCTCGTGTTGGCGTGGGTTTTCTCCAGGTGCTCCGGTTTCCCCCACAGGTTCAAAAACATGCGCTATAGGTGAATTGTGTAAGCTAAAATTGTCCGTAGTGTATGTTTTTGTGTATGATTCTGTATGGAAGTTTCCCAGTGATGGGTTGCAGCTGAAAGGGCATCCAACATATGCTGGATAAGTTGGCGGTTCATTCTGCTGTGGCGACCCCAGATTAATAAAGGGACTATGCCTTTATTATGCCATTATTTAAAAAAAAAAAAAAAAAGTTTGATAGTTTAAATAGCTCCTACATTTTAGTGACATTTTTAGCACCATTGTCGGGTGGTCATAACCACAGTTTTTGATGTACCAAAACATTTCCTAAAGATTTAGAATGAAGGTATATGAAAAGAAGACTTTTTTCTACGTATTATTTTTTATCAAAAGGCTAAGTAGCCTATTGTCATTTATTAAGCAAATAACAAACCAGCTAGAACATTCAACTTTCCTAATAATAAAAAATATACCTGATGACGATAATACTGCTAATAATGTATAGCTTCCCATTTTTCCAAGCATCTCTTATAAAAAAAAAAAAGTATGTTTGAAAATTAATTGATAACAGCAGTAGCCTAATTAGTATTCAAATTAACTTTTATAAGCCTAAAAATTTACTTTTGGTGCTTAACACTTTTTTTTATTGGTCATTTTTTTTCTTTCAAGATTAAGATCCAAGATTTAGAATAAAAGTTATTTCTAATTTTTTTTTCTCTATTTAAAACAATACAGTAGGTAAATAATTTTTACAATTTATGATGGCATAGCAGTAAAAAGAAGACAAATGAGCTCATGTAGGGAGCAATTGTGGACCTTTGTCAGTGGGGTGCAGTGAACACCCCACCCCCTGGCTACAGGCCTGCAATCTATGGTACATATAACTATCAGTAGCTATGTTTCCACTTAAAAATGTGAATTAATTAAAGGTGTGCGAATAAAGCAGCGTTTCCAAAAGCGATCAAAATCTTCACTTCCTGATTATCTGGCACCAAATATCAACAGTGAAAACTAAATTTGCTTCCGTTTGAGAAGCTGCATGAAGATCCTTTAGCCATTCCCAGAATGCATCTTGAGACAAAAAGGTTACTGTGCCTTCTGTGATGTAACTTAATGGCTCTGGAGCTTTCTCCCTCTAGCATTGAAAACTCTGACCTCAGTTGAACATTAAAAAATAAAAACAAAAACATACAAAGACTTCGTTTTTGCATGAGCTTTTAATTAACAGTATGTGAGCTGTTTTTATATTTTGGTGCTATTTATACTTCGATTGTAACCTGTTTTGATTAATGTTTTCTTTTACTGTAAAGCACTTTGTGACGACTTGTCTGTGAAAGGCGCTATATAAATACTATATAAATACAATTTACTTGCATTTCTTCCGCATAGAGCGATAGGAGGCCATTCCTACATTTGACTATTTAGCATTCCTCTTTGGTTATTCACTCATCATCTTCTAATTGATTGCAGGAGCATGACATCGAGACTCCTCGCGGTGTCCTTCATGTGACTTTGAGAGGGACCCCTAAAGGCAACCGGCCAGTCATTCTCACCTATCATGACATCGGACTCAACCGTAAGTTGTCTCGTATATTTTTTAAATTTCTCTTTAAGTGGCACACTGTATAATTTTCAGAGCTCATCTAACAGAGGCAGGTGGTCTAAATTAGTGTTTTACTCCTGTTCATGAAATCACACTTTACCTGGGTCAAAACTTTCCAATTATTTATAGTAGGTGAAAAAATGTATGAATTTTCTATGTCCTAGTATTCATACAACCATAGACCAGAAGAGCCTAGATGACCTGTTTCTTTTGCCAAGATTCTGATGTTTACATCCAAAATAAACTTTAATATCCCATAAGCCCTTAGGAGAGGAGTTGGCTGTAGATCACATGAGAGTGCCAAAATGACATGCAAATGAGCAATGAGTGCGTGTTCATTCAATCTCGAGGAAATTCCTCAAAAATGTCTATGAAGCAAATGCTCATTTTTTTCTTATGGTGATTTATGTGATTTGTTCTTTTCAATACAGATAAGTCCTGTTTTAACACACTCTTTAACTTCGAGGACATGCAGGAAATCACCCAGCACTTTGCTGTGGTCCATGTTGATGCTCCAGGCCAGCAGGAATCTGCCCCTCCTTTCCCCACCGGGTAAGACACAAAAATACAGACGAATCACTTTTTTTATTCATGTCTCAAAACATAGTGAGATGCCTACTTACACTTTTGAGCATCATTTCTTTATTCTTATTAGTCAATTTGGCATTGATATCTAAAACTTCTGTAATTTACAACCAAACCTAATTGTGTACAACAAGTGTGTGAGCGTAATCTGTAGGGGTGTCAAAATTAATTGTTTCCTCGGTGCACCGCGATGCAGACGCGGACAATTCGGGATCGCTTTAGTAATAATCATAACCGGTTATTACTGACGTCATTTACCTCATATGCGATCTGTTGCGAGGGAGGCGAGTAACACTCATAAACTGTGCACAATTTCACTGCGTGTGTTTGCTGGATCAGTCTTTCACTGACATTAACAGCAAAGTTTCACGGAGATTGAGAGAATGAAAGTACTCCATTTCTCTCTCTCTCTCTCTCTCTCTCTCTCTCTCTTTCTCTTTCACACACACACACACACACACTGTGGCCCATTTGACCTGTTGGCATGACTTTTCTTCTCCTCTCGGCTGTTTTACAGCATTACCTCTGGATACAGAAACGAGCGCGTGTCTGCAGCGTTTTTTCCACCATGTCTATCATGCATCAGCTGTGAGATCGCCGATGCCGCCTGCCGCTTATTAGTATCACTCAACTGTGAAGAGCGCAGCGCGCAAGAGCCAATCGCAACCGTTTTTGTTGAGGGTGTGACCAATCAAAGGGGTGTAAGAGAACTAGACAAGGATCAGAAAGTGAGCTGGATATTTATATTTGTTTATATTATTTGCTAAATGATTGTGCTGTTTAAAGGTACAGTTTAAATATCTGACTGTATTAAATGACAAAATTGTATTACAAATAGTATATAAATATAAATGTATTCATACATTTTAATAAAAGAACTGCTGCTGTGAAGAAAATATAAAACTGTGTATGAAAAGCACCGTCAATGCACCGTGATACACCGAAATATCGAATTGAACCGAATCGATGGCATGATAATCGTAACCGAACCGATCCGTGAGGCTTGTGTAGGTTCCCAGCTCTAATAATCTGGCTTTCCATTATCCTGTCTTGATGCGCATTTTGCAGTATTGCATGATAAACAAGTGATGCAAACGCCAAATTTCAATTAAAATTGTTTTTAATGTATCAAATTATGCTAGCTTGAGGTCATTTCGGAATTTAGCAAAACTGGTTCATGCGAATGATCTGAGATAGGGATGCATTTGCTGAATAAACTGACCTTGCAAACATTGCGTCCATGTGGCTAATTAGAAGTCTCCATTATGCCTGCTTTGTTTATAGTTAGTTACTAGGTCACCAATACTACAGTCAACTGCTCTAATAACTTGATGGAAATGCACCTAATTTAAATTTGACAACTTCTGAAAAAAAAACGGCTACATGTTAGAATGGAAACCCCCGCTATTGAAAACATGATACAGTATGTTTAACAGATTTTAGCAAGTTCATGTTTATGGATATTTCTACACTCCAACTTTTAGTTTGCTAACTAGCCTGCTAGTACTTTTCTACACTCGCCTAGTGTGTCCCCCCCTGTGTATCTCTATAAATTTTGTGTAAATCGAGAGTTTAAATATCCTCTGAGGTCCAAGGTTATATATATTTTATTTTTTTTTTCAGATTGATGGGCTGAATTAGACATAACATAGCATTTATATTATAACATAGCACATAGCATTAAGTAGATTGTAAACACATATTTTAGATACAGTTTATTATTGCTCTTGGAGTTGTATTTATGAACTGTTGCTGGTACCAAGCTCTTCTGTAAATCCATATGGTTACTGTCTATCTATTACTTTATGCCTCATTTCCATGGAGTAGTACAGTACGGTACGGTTCGGTTTAGCACGTGTCTCCTTTATCTGGCTTGTGTCTCCACTGGCAAATGGTACTCTTTGATAGGCGTGGTGTTCAACAGAAAATTGCAGTTGACAACATTCTCGCTTGGTTTAAAGTGCACCTATGGTGAAAAATCTACTTTCTAAGCTATTTGGACAGACATATGTGTATATATAGTGTATAGACCATCATATTGGGGTGATGTAAACATACCCAGTCCTTTTTTTTCAATATTACTACATAAAAACAGTGGACCAATTGGAGCGGTTTTCAGACTGACCACAACTTTATGTAGGAGTGCGGTCCCCCCGCCCACCGAATTGATTGACAGCTGCGCGCAATAACATGTCCCTGTAGTCACGTGTATATGTCAACAAGACCAGACGTGCGCAAAGCAAACGTGAATAAAAGGTCTGTTCAGTTCGCTAGGATCAGCAAGCATCATCAAATGTGATCAAGAGTAAGTTTCACATGTTTAAAATGTTTTGAAACAGTGCACGTGTGTAATTAATTACAGCAATTTTCTTCAGCTTTACTTCATCAGCACAGCCGCGAGTCAGAACAATTATGAAGGAAAATGCTTCAATCCCGGTTTGTGGACGTTAAATCAGGTTTATTTTGTACAATAACATAACAGATATCCACACAGCAGTGGAGATTAGCCTGTATCCTGTCACATTTGCGTGCCAAACCAGTGCAAAGCTTAAACGCGCACGCTGTCTCTCTCTCTCTCTCTCTGTGTGTGTATGTGTGTATGTGTGTATGTGTGTGTGTGTGTGTGTGTGTGTGTGTGTGTGTGTGTGTGTGTGTGTGTGTGTGTGTGTGTGTGTGTGTGTGTGTGCGCGCGCGCAACAAATACTGATTAGTAAAGCTCTTACTCTAGTTTTTCTCACAAACGCTACGGGAGACCTTCTTCCTTTAAGTCTGTCTGTTGTCTAAAGCAGCTGAGGGAGGAGATTAAAGCACGTGGGAAGGCACGTAGAAACAGTAGGCGGGGAGGACTCACCTTAAAGGCGCAGTACGACAAAACCACCCCCTGGTGGAAAAATTTATAAAACAGGATCTTGTAAAAGGTATAATGAAAAATATGATGGGTGTTTTAAGCTGAAACTTTACATACACATTCTAGAGACGCAAAAGACTTGTATTAAATTTGAAAAAATGGGTAGTCTTGGTGCCCTTTGAATATCGTATGAGAAGCACTTCTTACTGAACAATTGCTTTATGTACATGAATACTTATGTATAAATAAATTTTAATTACTAACCTTTCTATGACCAATATTTGACACATGTAACAATAACATCTTCTTTAAAAGTAATTCCATTATTCTGAGTTCATAGTCCAAAACACAATGAAGATAGTTAAACATGGCAATTTTTTCATGGTTTAGGTTGCTGAAAGAATCATCTGCTCCTTTTTTATTTTTTTTTTTTATTTATGTATTTATTTATTCATTTACTTATTTTTGGCTTCTTTTTTCGCTCTGACGTTTGTTGTTTCTGAAAGGATCGGGTGTCAGAAGCACTTCAATAGTCACGCGCACATTATATGAGCTTAAGAAGTTTGTTATTTTGAATATAAACGCAAGGCAAGTGCATGCAAGCTCTCTAGAGAAAGTGAAACCACACGGCAGATTCTGCTCTTCTTGGCTTTGTGGTTGCTCATCAAGACAACGACGAGGTTTGTTTGAGCTTGGGTTGACCATGGCACATTATTAAATGTATATATTATTACGGTGTAATGTCTCATCTGTGTATTAAAAAAAAAGGTGGTTTCTTTGTTTTTATTCTCGTGGCTGGTGTACAAGCCAATGACATTTCTCTTTAGACCAATAGCAGTCAGCCGTGTGTCTCGCTCTGCCTTTTGGTACCCTTTTGTTGTGCTACATACCCTTTACAAGGCACGATTCACTTTGTGGTACCTCTTTATTGTGTAAACAGACATAAGCGTACCGACCCATACCATAACACTCAGTGGAAACAGGCCTTTAGTGACCAGTCTCTGCAGCCTGTCTTTTACAGTGAAGTTGCACTATACACAAAGATGCAACTCTTCCTATTTTTATTTTAAGTTGCGGTGAATTTTCACATCAGGTTTATGATTAACATGTAGATTTCCTCTGCTCACCAACAAAAGGTTGAACACTAATTCTTTTATACGTCATCGTTTTACTAATTTGACCACGCCTTCACAGTCAACATAATTTTCAGGCTCACTTAAGAGGATAGTTCACTTAAAAATGTAAATTTACTTACCCTCAAGTGGTTTCAACCCTTTATAGGTTTCTTTATTTTGTTGAACACAAGATAATGTATTTTGAAACCTGTAATCTAACCTCATAGCAGGAAAAGCAAATACTATGGAAGTCAATGGTTAATAGTCTTTTAAAATATGTACTTTTGTGATCAACAGAAGAAACTGGGTGAACTATCTCTTTAAAACTAATTTGGGATTCCTGTCTGTATTTTCTTTCCCTCAGGTTCCTGTACCCCACCATGGATGAGCTTGCTGAAATGCTACCTTCAGTTCTGACTCATCTGAAGTGAGCATCTAAACTTTAGTATTGTCTCTGATAATGTTCACATCATAAGGTTATCCCTAAATCAGTACAAGTAGGCGAAAGCTTGTAAATTTCATCTAGTTTGTGCATTTCTTTGTCTTTTTATTTAATTCGTGCTGGCATTTCTAAGTTAATCAACTATATGAATGATTGTTCTTCAACAGAATCAACAGTGTGATTGGGATCGGTGTGGGCGCAGGAGCTTATATCCTCACTAGATTTGCTGTAAGTAAAATAATCTTCCATTCCATAGAGTTATGATGACCTATTAGTCATTTTATGTGGGTATAAAGAGCTCTTTGAAATCAAGTCGATTGAGCACAATCATGATGTTTAATTGAGCATCTTGAGATCATGAGAGGTGAACATCAGTAAAGATCATCTGCAGTCAAACCATCAGTCTTCAGTCTACAATAAAATTCCCGACAACTCATCTAAGACTCAAAGTTCACACATGCACTTACACTCTCACCCTACACAAAGCCCTCATTCACCGTCTACACACAAACCTCCACGGATGGATTTCCTCATAAACGCATTTATTAAGACTCATACACACTCACTCTCATGTTTCCTGCTGCTTATTATCAAGGTATAATGAGATAAAGGATATTTCATCAGGTTATCCGAAGAATGTGGCCGTCTTTAGCTACTTTCCCCATTACCTCGGTCAAGCAACTTAGCTTTTCACACTTGTATGTTTTCTCAGCTTGCAGTGCACTTTATCATATTTCGACCACATATGCACTCGCTCAGATGGATGACTGAATCAAACACACACCTACGCAGCTCTGCAGAACAAGCGCAGCAGAGAAAACCATTTAAAATCTTCTAAATGACCCTTTATTTGTCACATGCTTATTCATCGGTGAAGTCATATGAGAGTGTGACCTCCAAAACTGCTGGTGCTTCTCTGCATGTCTTCCTCACTTCCGAGCAGAATCTGATGTGGAGAGGAAAAAGAAGAGGTGTGAAACATGTGCTTTATTTCCATCGCCGTCATGATGCATTTGATTTGTTCATGTGTCTGCCTATAGTTCTGTGTTAAAACCAAGTGTGAGGCCTTGCACGAAGTCTGCGTCTTGGACCCTGACTTACTGAGAACTTGGTAAAGGTGTTGATGTTGAGACCTGGTTTGGTCACGTCGATAGGAGGTTTTGCTTGGTCATCACTGAGACTTTCTCAGGCAATCTATTTCCCATGGTTTTACTGTACTGTATGTGGCGTTCTCAAGTGTTTTAATGTGACGTATTTCACTGCATGAAGGCAAAATGTAGGGCACAACATTGCATACTCGCACTTTTAGAGTTGTGATTGGTGAAAGCATCCCTATGTATGTATTTTAGTTGGCCAAATACAGTCATTTAAAGCAAGGGTTTCCAGACGTTTCAGCTCGCTACCACCAGAATAACAATGCCAGTGACTCGCGACTCCCACTATATTCTAAGATGGTTAAAAATATACTAATGCTGCACACACAACAATAGACCTATATGAACACTAGCATATTGACAAAACAAAAAACTGCAACAGTCTAACAACCATATGATTTTTATAGTCATTTATTAATTTGTTTAATATAATATTACCCTTACCTAATGAGACTGATGGCATGATGTTTTAGCACAGGTCTGTTTTTGGTTTAATTTTGGTGACCACCACTCAGAGTATCTTCTCAATACTTAGTTGTGACCTATATTTATTTTGAATGTATTTGATTGCCATTAATGTGTCAAAGTTTAACCTGGTGCTATAAATTCAATCTGCTGCAGCTGACGCTATTACTGTGTCGTTGATCTAAGGGTGCTCTCACTCCTAGACTTTTGTTTTGGAACCATTTGTTCAGTTAGTGCGGTTCGTTTGGCATGTGAATCCAGCAATCGCGCTCAAATCTGTGCCGAATCAATCGCTCCGAGATCGCCTGAATGAGGAGATACGATCCAAGCCCGGCTATATCACGCTGTTTTATAGATATGTAATAGGCATACGGCTATACGAAGAGAGAATTATGAGTAGGGCGTGAGGTCATTCCAGACATCCCAAGTCTCCTGGAGGTTCTGGGAGTCTCCCGCAAATGCACAGAGACTCCCGGATGCCCACAAACGAATGAGAATCTCCCGGAAATCGCGCGCTTTCCTCCTGGTCCTCAAATCCGTCACACACGCTTCTCACCCCTCCCCACCGCATCCCTCCTCGCTCTTCACACATGTCACGTGCATCCTGTTAAACACCACGAAACTTCCCCCGGTCTTCACATTGCCTATAATGTGTTATTGCTCATCGTTATAACTTAAATAAGGACATCGTATGAATTTTTTTTTGAAGGCTGATGGCTTTTTATTAGCATGTTGTTGTTTTTTTATTTTCTGTAGGATATGGATAATGGCCCAATTCTATTTGTGTACCCATTCGTCTTTCCCTTGGCCCTTGAAACAGAATGTGACGGAGAAGGGCTTCAAAATTTACCCCTAAGAAATGGGACACCACTACAACACATGCTCAAGTCATCATATGTCACTGCGCTCTTATGCTTCATATGACATCGACGATCGCGACTGCTGTAGTTATTCCAGTTGTGTTATTTTTTGGTATTTATCTTCAGGAAATCACTGAAGGCATCGATATCATGTTATCATAATGATCTAATGTGGCAATAAGATCGTAACTGTACTGCGCATTTACACAGTGGCCATATTCATGATGTAAATACACAAAAACAACATTAACATTATACTAGGCAATTTAAAAAGCTTATTCCCAGCCACTAGACTTTTCTGACTGGGTATTCAAGTGTCATCGAGTGTCAGAATGTTGTGGGACTGCTGTACAGGAGTTATTATTATGAATTATATATAGCAAAATTTTGCGTTTTTTATTTTAGCCAGTTTTTTAAGCATGATGGTAAAACACGAATGTCGTTTTGAATATATTAAAACATTTGCTTGTTTCTTGTTAACATTAATTTTTTTCATTTGGCATCTCCTTACTTCCGTGTGCAGCCATACCGTCATTGTAGCTGGTGTATTCTGGAAAATTTTCTTACCTCTTGGTTTTGAGTGTGGTCCTGAAAAATCTGTTTCGAGGGGTATCTAGCACCTCCCCTTAGCCCTACGCCTTCAAACTAAAGAGAATTGCGACACGTGCATAACGAGAGGGAAGGGCTAAGGGGTAGAATTGGAATCAATCCAAAATATGAAAATTCTTATGGTTTAATAAAATTGATTTGACTTTTGAAAATCACCAAGCGAATGAATTAACTCCACAACAAATACATCAAATAATTTTACTTGGTGTTATGACTCATAAACTGGATCTCTGCTTCATTCTTGTCTGTCAACAATTACTCTGTTACTATACACTATTTGACATGAATGATTAGCTAAATTGTTAATGTCAGTCAAAAGAAAAAAGGGAATTAGTTATGAGGAAGTAAATGGGGTCATTTTGATTTCATGTTGACTGTTGACTATGGGTGTAACAGAACTCAGAAATGAGTTTGGTATGTACATCGCTTTGGAGTCATAGTTTGATGTGTTTTTGGTACAATAGGGCAAAACGACATGATATATTTTTTTCTGTATGAATATCAAACAATAGTTTATAGGTAAATTGGCTTTACCTTTAAAATTCTAATGAAAAGTCTAATGATAGTTTTATGGTAAAAGAAAAAAATCAACCAATGCTGCTAACTATATAAGGAACCCTATTATTTGCACATGACTATAATATTAAAGGCTGCAGTTAACAACGCAGTCTAAATTATTCCATTCCATTGATATTTATTCATTTATAAATAATATAATAACCAAGACTTAAACATGTAAATTGCTAATTTTTACAATAATATTTAATTATACACTTGTTTCTGCTCCAGTTGCCTTCGAAATATAATCATTTACACAGTGAATTATTAATTAATTAAAGTATATTTTTCTGTGGGTGTCTGATGACTTAAAATAGATAGGAAGCAGATATCGCAGCCTCTGTTACTTTTTATTACATTCTTCAAATGACTATAATTAAATGACATAAGAATAAAATATTATGTGTACTTGAGTGTACTTGCGATATGAAGATATTATATCGTCATTCTGGCATTATATAATGAGTGGCATAAAATGGTCCTACAAGGACCATAATGTTTATCGCAATATATTTTACAATATATCTTACAACAAAACATACATATCATATATATGTGTATATATGTATATATATATATATATATATGTGTGTGTGTGTGTGTGTGTGTGTGTGTGCCATTTCATATATCTTCCTACAGCTGAAATTTACAGCTGATTGAAGGATTACATGAGTAAATCTTAGTAAAACAGGATGATTCACTTATGCTTTACTGCAATTAGAAATCAGGCATTGTTCTGTCACATCAGCGAGCATCACTATGGCAATTTATTCTTTGAAATCTCAATAAAGAAAATTAATTTGGAAGATTTTTATCACCAAAAGTAACCAATAACAAAGTTTCATTTGATTTATTGGACTGGAGATGTGCTGTATAATATCTAGTGAAGTTTTATCTATATATCAATTGAAACAGCAGAGATTACAAGATCCATCTTTGGATGAAAGAATTTGGATTTTTTTTTTCTCCAGGCCAATCACAGTGTTATTGAGTTAGATTGTCACATGGCTCAGACAAGTCTATATTTAACAACACCTCAAGAAGTCAAGAATCTCTCATTAGTCTGTTCATCTACATGTCGAGCTGTTAATCCTCTCGTTTAGTAGGTGCCCTAAGTGTATTAGCCATGATAGTCTAACCCGTGTTTTGTCTTTCTCTAGCTGAATGAGCCTGCTTTGGTTGAGGGACTGGTTCTCATAAATGTGGACCCCTGTGCTAAGGGCTGGATCGACTGGGCTGCCTCAAAGGTAAACATGTGAATACACTGTCAATTAAACATTAAATCAATCAATCAATGAATAAAAATACATAAATTAATACTGGAACTGTCTGAGGTAATATAAGTATCTCTATGGGAACAGTTTTTACAAATATGTTTTTTTTCTACCAATGTGTACTGCAGGAAAGTGGCAGACAGATGTTAAGTAATGTGTAAATAAATAAACAATATATTGATCTCTCTAAAGAAACTTGACTACAACAGAAGTCTTAATATAATCGCTAAGGAACACTCTACATTTTTTGAATTTTGAAATGTGATCCTTTTACAACTCCCCTAGGGTTGAAACAGTTGAGTCTTACCACTTTTGAATCCATTCTGCCAATCTCTGCATCTGGGAATATCTTTAGCTTTATAGATCATTGAATCAGACTAGACCCTTAGCATCTCACTCAAAAGTTATGGAAAAAGAGTTTTGATTATTTTTCTGTTTAGAGCTGGAGTTTTCTATAGTTACATTGTGCAGTAAGACCGACAGAAAAAAAGGTGCTATTTTTTTAGGTTATTTCCTGGAACTAGGTCTGCATGATTTATTGTATTATTATCCTGAAAGCGATATTTGTGACCCACAATAAATAAATAAATATCGTCACAATTTTACAGTATCAAGACCAAGCCGTTATTTTAATGGGTGGGGTTTATGGATTGTACCGCATCACAAGCATGAGGTGACTGTGTCTACAGGGTGGGCCATTTATATGGAGACACCTTAATAAAATGGGAATGCTTGGTGATATTAACGTCATGTTTGTGGCACATTTCTATATGTGAGTGGGCTTGTAAATAACTCATGAAAGAATAAAGTTGACAGAAACATGTAGACAGAAAACACTGTATCCAAATGTTTCAATGTAAAAAAAAAGTCATTGTGGCCCTGTTCAGGTTTCTTTTCATCAATCTCATGCAACTTTTATTAGTTACAAGAAAAGAAAATGTAATTAGAAGTTTCAGATCGATTAAACGTAAAAAGACTAGCCTATTTTATGCATTAAACAATGCAATAGATAAGTAATTTCCTTCATTTCTGATTAGACCATGCACTTTATTCCATTTTACAGCTTTAATAGGTATATATGCTTTTTTTAAATAACATTTGTTTAACAAATATTTTTGCACATTGAAAGTAATTAAGTTATCTGTCTTTTGATTAAAAGCTTTATGCAAAGGTTTAGGAATTGATTGCGCAAAAAAAAAAAAAAAAACAAACAATCATCAAACACATGCATCGCTCTCAGGCCACGTTTTGGAGGAAAAATTAGCATCTGAGTGGTGTTTTGAATAGAATACAATTATTAAAAAGCTCATATACACACAAAATAAAACATTCACAAAGATGTATCTTTTGGAAAAACACCAATTTACGGGCGCTGCTTTTTTTTTTTTTTTTAAAGAATCAAGGAGTTTTAAAAAAATCAATCTAATTTGTAGAAGAGAAATGACAGGAATTTGAAAAGACGGAGTGTAAAAGCCGTCTCAGCCCTACTTGGAACTATACTCTAATTCCATTCTAACAATCAAGGAACTTTACTGCTGTATCATGGGTTATGCAGTACTGTTACCTAGCTGCCTATCCGGGCACTATTGTAAAGCACTGCGTAATATTTTTGCACCTCCTGCAGCCATGGTAAGGCAGCAAAACTCCTTGATTATTTCACTAGAATGAGTATAGTTCCTTGACATATTAGCCTAGAAAATAGCAACTTTCAATTTTCCATCGGTCATAGTACACAGCGTAATTACAGAATAGTCAATTTGATTAGAAAAATGATCAAAACTCACTTTTGAAATTGAGTTAAATGCTAGCGGTCTAATCGGATTTAATGATTTATGCTAAGCTATGCTAAAAGTTTTCTGAATAAACAAAAAAAATGGTAAAACTCAACTGTTTAACTCTATGGGGACTTGTCTCCCCCCCTCCCACCCCCCCTAAAAAAGTGGTGTGTTCTTTTTCTTTTTCCTCCAATATGAATCAACTCTTTCACTTTCTAGGGTCGAACAGTTGAGCCTTACCACTTTTGAATCCATCCTGCCAATCGCTACATCTGGCGGGAGCATTTTTAGCTTAGCTTAGCATAGATCATTGAATCTAATTAGACCATTAGCATTTCCTTGATTATTACACCAGAATAAGATTGTAGTTACTAAACATATCAGCCTAGAAAATAGCAACTTTTAACTACAAATAGCAATTTTCCGTCAGCCTTAGTGCAAAACATAAATACAAAAGACTCTGCAAATGGGTAGAAAAATATAGTGAAACAAGTTTTTGAAATTAAGTAAAATGCTATAGGTCTAATTTGATTCAATGATTTTTGCTCAGCTAAGCTAAAAGTGTTCTGAATGGATAAAAAAAATTGTAAAACACAGCTGTTGAACTCTAGCGGACTTGTTTTTCCAAGTCGTGTTTCTTGAGTATTACTATTTTTCTTCAAGTATAAGTCTAATTATAGATTCATCAACACTTCATGTAATAAATTGTGTTTTTAAATCTTTTCATTTACTGATTATTTACTCATATTGCATATTCATTCTCATAAATGCTTCATATCATATACTCCCTTGATTAGCCAAAAGCTAACGCTATTTCTCCATACTTGAGATTTCTCAGCAGATTAGTTTGCTTAATCTTCTTAAGGGTTTCCCTGTTGTAAAGCTCTTAATAACCTTACAGGTCAAATTGCAACATTAATGAAAAGTGAAGTCGGTGGCTGTGAATGTTGGGTGGAGGTGCTTGGAGCAAGATTTGTATGATCTTAAAACATCTGTTTGCTTCTGTTTTTAGCTGTCTGGATGGACCAGCAATCTCATAGACATTGTAATGGCACACCATTTCAGCACGGTAAGTCAACAGCACCTTTAGAAATATGTTTTAAGAGAAAAATGGTTACATGTTTAATACTTATTTTCCCCGCTGTATATATCCGACAATACTGTGCTTCTGGTTTTACCTCTGAAGTTGTACAAACCCGATTCCAAAAAAGTTAGGACACTGTACAAATTGTGAATTAAAAAGGAATGCAATAATTTACAAATCTCATGAACTTATATTTTATTTACAATAGAATATACGTAACAAATCAAATGTTAAAAGTGAGAAATTTTTACATTTCAGGCCAAATGTTGGCTCATTTTGGATTTAAAGACAGCTACATATTCCAAAAAAGTTGAGACAGGTAGCAATAACAGGCTAGAAAAGTCAAATGTACATATTAGAAACAGCTGGAGGACCAATTTTCCACTTACTAGGTCAATTGGCAACATGATTGAGTATAAAAAGAGCCTCTTTTTATACTTTTTAGTGTCTCTTAGAGGTTAAGATGGCCAGAGGATCACCAATTTCCCCAATGCTGCGCCAAAAAATAGTGGAGCAATGTCAGAAAGGAGTTTCTCAGCGAAAAATTGCAAAGAGTTTGAAGTTATCACCATCTACAGTGCATATTATCATCCAAAGATTCAGAGAATCTGGAACAATCTCTGTGCGTAAGGGTCAAGGCCGGAAAACCATACTGGATGCCCGTGATCTTCGGGCCTTAAGATGCACTGCATCACAAACAGGAATGCTACTATAATGGAAATCACAATATGGGCTCAAGACTACTTCCAGAAAACATTGTCGGTGAAAACAATCCACCGTGCCATTCGCCGTTGTCAGCTGAAAGTCTATTGGTCTATTGAAGTCTATTTCTTCAAAAAAGAAGCCATATTTAAACATAATCCAGAAGCGCAGGCGTTTTCTCTGGGCCAAGGCTCATTTAAAATGGACTGTGGGAAAGTGGAAAACTGTTCTGTGGTCAGACGAATTAAAATTTAAAGTTCTTTTTGGAAAACTGGGACGCCATGTCATCCGGACTAAAGAGGACAGGGACAACCCAAGTTGTTATCAGTGCTCAGTTCAGAAGCCTGCATCTCTGATGGTATGGGGTTGCATGAGTGCATGTGGCATGGGCAGCTTACACATCTGGAAAGGCACCGTCAATGCTGAAAGATGTATACAAGTTCTAGAACAACATATGCTCCCATTCAGACGTCGTCTCTTTCAGGGAAGATCTTGCATTTTCCAACATGACAATGCCAGACCACATACTGCATCAATTACAACATCATGGATGCGTAGAAGAAGGATCAAGGTACTGAATTGGCCAGCCTGCAGTCCAGATCTTTCACCCATAGAAAACATTTGGCGCATCATAAAGAGGAAGATGCGACAAAGAAGACCTAAGACAGTCGAACACCTAGAAGCCTGTATTAGACAAGAATGGGAGAACATTCCTATTCCTAAACTTGAGCAACTTGTCTCCTCAGTTCCCAGACGTTTGCAGACGGTTGTAAAAAGAAGAGGGGATGCATCACAGTGGTACACATGGTCCCAACGTTTTTGAAATGTGTTGATGCCATGAAATATAAAATTAACTTATTTTCCCCTTAAAAATATACATTTTCGCAGTTTAAACATTTGACATGTCATCTATGTTCTATACTGAATAAAATATTGAAATTTGGAGCTTCCACAACATTGCATTCAGATTTTATTCACAATTGGTACAGTGTTCCAACTTTTTTGGAATCGGGTTTGTAGTATACCATACATGCGGACCTGTATTCTTTGAATTATATGCTTTATCAGAAAACAAACTAAATAAAGTTATTTAAAAATCTAAGAGCATAGTAATTAAGGCCACTTAATTTAAAGTGGGGCCCAAAAGCTTTGTAATAACCTGCAGTACCGCTCCATGATTTCCCCAATAAGTATTTCAATCGTTGCCCTATAAAGAGTTAAAGTCTACGCTTTTCTTCCTCAGGATGAGCTGACAGAAAACCAGGAGATTATCCAAACATACCGCCTGCACATCGCTCAGGACATCAATCAGGATAACCTGGCGCTTTTCTGCCAGTCCTACAACAGGTGACAGGATCAAAACACATTGATTATTGGCAAAAGAGCTGAACTTAACTGGATTTTCTTCTCCTTACTGCAGTCGTCGAGATCTGGAGATTGAGAGGCCTGTTCTGGGAATGAACGAAAATGCAGTTAAAACGCTGAAGTAGGTTCATTGGTTGTCTTTGTTTTAAGGTGTCATTTAAAATGTCTTCAATTTGCTGAAATGTTGTGTTGTAGGTCATAAAGGTCCCGTGAAGTATAATGTCCATTTTTATTTGATGTTTGATGAATTCTCAACCGAAACCAAAGAGAGTGTGGGATATGGTGGAGCTTCTACCCTTTAAAAAAAAAAAAAAAAACAGCCAATAGTGTTTTGTTTACCACAGCTCTGCCATTGAGAGTAGTTGAGCTCAAGTGCATCAAATAAAAAGCAATTGAGAAGCGGCTTGAAGGGGGTGGGACTTGTCAGACACTAGAGAGCATTTGATTGGTTATGATTTGATGAGTAACTCAAGTATAAGGTCACGTGAATACATTTAAGTGGAAGTGACAAACTACAAGCTTTACATGTTTATATCAGTTTTATATCTTCTAAATGAGAATTTGTCCCCGTTTTGTCACTGCCCTATTTTTCAAATTGAAAACCTTAGAAAATCAAAACATTTTTGTGCTGATAGGCTTCAAAATCCGTTGCATGTTAAGGGATAAACTATTCTTTTACTGCTTATTTGTATATACATACAAATGTCATTAAACCATGCTGGAGCTCATATTATATAAAAAAAAAACATATTATATATGTAAATATACATATATACAATATATATATAATCTGAAAGGTTGAACAAAAGTGCAACATGTTGCAAAAAGCAATGATCCAGTGAATTTAATAAATCTTTAGGTCAAATTTAATAGTTGTTTAATTACCTTCACTCAATGATTTGGACTATGAAATTTTGTAAAATTATTTTTATTATAGTAATTTTTTATTATAGAATTATAGAATTGTAATAATATATTATAATATAATTATAGAAATTTTAGAATAATTTTAGAAATGAGCTAGAACAAGATTTTTTACATTATTGGCTAATGTCTTAAAGTAGAATGTTGTGACTTCCAGCTCATTTTGCCAGCTTGAGTCACAAATGTATCAACTACAATTTTTAAGCCTATGTATACAAGTCTAAGTATACAATTTAAATAGATATTAAAAGTTGTATACAAATATTGTATTTTAATGTAGACAACACATTGCTGATCATGTTTCATAGTGCTTTTATTAAAAGTATTGAAATGCTTCTGAGGCCTAGAAAAGGTCACTAGAGAAGGTGATAACAACAGCCAGTTAGTTGTTGGGAATAAAACTAAAGAGTATTCATTGTATATTCAATTCAGCTTTATTTGTATAGCGCTTTTACAATGTAGATTGTGTCAAAGCAGCTTCACATAAATGGTCATAGTAACTGGAACAGTGTGGTTCAGGTTTTAGTGTTTAAGTTCAGTTCAGATCAGTTTAGCTCTGTTCAGTGTGATTTAATCATTACTGAGAGTTCAAACACTGAAGAGCAAATTCATCGATGCGTAGCTCTACCAATCCTGAACCATGCGAGGCAGTGGCGACAGCGGAGAGGGAAAAAAACTTCACCTGATGGGAGTGAAGAAAAAAAACCTTGAGAGAACCAGACTCAGTTGGGCACGACCATTTTAATTTCTCCGCTGGCCAAAAGTCTTGTGCAGAAATTCATTCGCCGTGGTTTATGCTGGAAGATGGCCTCAATGAAGACTCGTCTGTCCCTGGAGCGTCGCTGGAATCAGACTCATGTTCTCCACTCCCCACGACCATCAGCGCAGCAGCAGCTCAGGATATGGCCTGGTCCCGAATATGGAATCCTTGGGATCATCACGTCGCTGGTCTTGGATCCAATCAGTGACTCCGCCTAATCTGAGGACCTCGGGATGAGTATCCCCAGGTGAAAATAGAGAATAAAGAAAATAATTAGCGTAGCTGCTGTTCATAGTGTATATAAGCAAGATGTAGGAGCCAGTGTGGAACCCGCTAGGTGATGCACTGAGTGTATGCTTTACTAAACAGATAGGTCTTTAATCTAGTTTTGAACTGGGAGAGTGTGTCTGAGCCTCGGACATTACCAGGAAGGCTATTCCAGAGTGTAGGAGCCATGAAAGAGAAGGCTCGACCTCCTTTACTTGATTTTGCTATTCTAGGTACTACCAGACGCCCTGAATTTTGAGATCTTAAGGAGCGAGTTGGTTCGTAGCGAGACAGAAGGTTGGTTAGATAAACAGGAGCTAGATTATTTAGAGCTTTATAGGTGAGAAGTAATATTTTAAATTCAATACGAAACTTAACAGGCAGCCAGTGTAAGGAGGATAAAATTGGGGTTATATGATCATATTTTCTGGACCTGGTCAGAACTCTGGCTGCTGCATTTTGTACTAATTGAAGTTTGTTAATAGAGGATGCTGGGCAGCCAGCAAATAGAGCATTACAGTAATCCAGTCTCGAAGTCATAAAAGCATGGACTAGCTTTTCTGCATCTGAGATGGATAGCATATTTCGTAATTTAGCGATATTTCTCAGATGAAAGAAGGCAGTTTTTGTGACATGGGATATATGGTTTTTAAAAGTTAGATTGCTGTCTAATATGACACCCAGATCTTTTATAGTAGAGCTAAAGCTAACTTTGTATCCCTCTAATTGTAAATTGAGTTGCGAGATCTGCTGTGTGCAAGATTTAGGCCCAATAAGTAATAATTCTGTTTTGTCTGAGTTTAAGAGAAGAAAATTGTTGGTCATCCAGTCTTTGATATCTTTGATACACTCAGTTAGTTTAGAAAGTTCAGACGTCTCGTCAGGTTTAGTGGAAATATATAATTGAGTATCATCTGCATAGCAGTGAAAGCTGATCCCATGTCTTCTAATAATGTCTCCCATAGGTAGCATATAAATTGTAAACAGTAAAGGGCCTAAAACTGATCCTTGAGACACTCCATACTTTACTGGGCAGATTTGTGAAGGCTGTCCATTAAGATTTACAAACTGGTAGCGGTCAGTTAAGTATGACTTAAACCATTGTAGAGCCTGTCCCTGGACACCTGTAGACTTTAAACGATTTATGAGGATATTGTGGTCAATGGTATCAAATGCCGCACTAAGATCGAGTAAAACTAATAGCGAGACGCACCCTCGGTCAGCAGCTAAGAGTAAATCGTTGGTTATTTTCACTAAGGCGGTTTCTGTACTGTGGTGAGCCCTGAAACCTGACTGAAACACTTCAAAAATATTGTTCGTCTGCAGATAAGAGCATAATTGAGTGGAAACAACTTTTTCTAGTATTTTAGACATAAATGGAAGATTTGAAATAGGCCTATAGTTAGCTAAGTTGTTGGTGTCTAGTTGCGGTTTCTTAATAATAGGCTTAATAACAGCTAGCTTGTAAGAGTTTGGAACATGGCCTATAGATAAAGAAGAGTTGATAATGTTAAGAAGAGGTTCTCCTATAGCAGGTAGCAGCTCTTTCAGTAATTTTGTTGGAATTGAGTCCAGCATACACGTAGCTGGTTTAGAGCTATTTATAATTTTTACTAACTCTTCATGTTCTATGATTTTGAAGCAGTGTAGGTTATTATTATGATTTAATGAAATATTTTACAGGATTTGGAGTATAAGCCGGTGCAGAAAGTTTGGCATCTCCTATTTTCTGTCTAAAGCCTTCTATTTTATTACTGAAAAAATTCATGAAATCATCACTACTAATTTGCGGTGGAGTAGTTTGTTCCAAGGATGACCGATTATTTGCTAATTTAGAGATGGTGTTAAATAAAAATCTAGGATTGTTATGATTATTTTCTATCAGTTTGCGCAGGTGCTCGGTCCTGGCAGATTTTAGAGCCCTCCTATAGCTGGACATACTGTCTTTGTACGCAATTCTAAAGACCTCTAAATTAGTTTTTTTCCATTTACGTTCCAGGGCGCGGGTTGCTGTTTTGAGCGCATGAGTATGACTATTATACCATGGTATAGTTTTAATCTCTCTAGCCTTTTTTAATTTGATGGGTGCCACAGTATTTAGTGTGCTAGTAAAGATGGCATCCATACTGCTGGTTACTACATCAAGATCATTTGAGTTTGCGGGTGCATTACGAAATAGAGAGAGATCAGGTAAGTTATTTATAAATTCATCTTTAGTTGACGGAACAATAGTTCTACTAGGGCGGAGTATTGGAGCGGGTTTGCTGATTTCAGGTAAACATAGCTTATATAGTAAGAGGTAGTGATCTGTAATATCATCACTTTGTGGTATAATGTCTACGTCAATAACCTCGATTCCATAAGACAGAATTAGATCTAATGTATGCTTTTAAGCAATGGGTTGGACCCACAACGTTTTGCTTTATCCCAAGTGAGTGTATTAAATCCATAAACGCGAGCCCTAATGTATCATTAGCGTCATCTATGTGGATGTTAAAGTCACCTACAATTAGCATTTTATCAGTTTTGACTAGTAAGTCAGAAATAAAATCAGAAAATTCTTTTAGAAATTTGACATAGGGTCCTGGGGGTCTATATATGGTGATTAAAGCGAGAGATAACATAGGTTTTTGTATAGTATCTGGAAGCTGAACATTAAGCGATAATACTTCAAAGGAGCTAAACATAAGTCCGTTTCTCTGTTTAATATTAAGGAAATCACTAAAGATTGATGCAACTCCACCACCACGACCAGTTTGACGAGCCTCATGTTTATATAAGAATCCTGGAGGAGTTGCTTCATTTAAGCTAATATAGTCATTTTGTTTCAGCCAGGTTTCAGTGAGACAGAGTGCATTAAGATTGTTTTCTGTTATTATTTCATTAATGATAAGTGCTTTAGGTGCAAGTGACCTGATGTTTAGGAGACCAAGTTTTACGAAATTTGTATTTTCACTTTCTACTGGTTTTTCTGGTTTGATTCTTACTAGATTTTTCCTGGAGCACACAGTACGTTTATTTCTTAATCTAATAATACGAGGAACAGACACAGTCTCTATAGGATTCGCCAGATATGCGTTACTGATGTTTAAGTGGGGTGAACAAGAGTCTAGGTGGCTATAGTGTGAATTTTGTGAATTTTTACCTGCTAGTCAGATGGTGCGAAGTAGTCTGGAGATGTTGTCCGACAGGAGTTCAGCTCCGGCTCGACTGGGGTGCAGGCCGTCAGGACGGAAGAGCCTAGGACGCTCCCAGAAAAGATTCCAGTTATTAGCAAAGAGCAATTTCTGTTCTTTACACCATGTTATTAGCCATTCATTCAAAGCTAAAAGTCTACTGAACCTTTCATTTCCTCGGCGGTAGGTAGGAAGCGGCCCAGAAACGATGATCTGCGTGGCGGGCGAGGTGCGTCGAACCGTCTCGATCAGGCTCCTGAAGTCCTTCTTCAGGATCTCCGACTGCCGGAGCCCGGTGTCGTTTGTCCCCACGTGGAGGACAACGGCACCAGGGCTCTCGGCAGCGCCCAGGATGGTTGGAATCTGTGTAGAAATATTTTTCACACGGGCACCAGGAAAGCAGAAAGTACGTACTTTATTACCTTTTGAGGAGGCGGCACGGACGTGACGAACGATCGAGTCACCGATGATGGCCACATCGGGACCCGACTCGCGGAGAGGGGAGAAGCGGTTCTCCGTGGAGATCTCGAACACAGGCGGAGACGTTCTGCCCCGGGATCTGGGAAGCACCTTGCGCGGCTGCACCCAGGCGCCGTGGTAGCCGGGTGTCGGCGTGAACGACGCCTGGCTGAGCCGCGCCCCGGGTGCGCTGGGCCTGGACAGAGAAGGACGCGGGGTTGAGGTAGAGGGAATGATGTGGTTGTAATTTCCACGTACCTTAGGTGATGAGACGGCCTTGGCATTAGGTACGGCGAGGAGCCGTTCCCGTAGCCGCGACCGTCTTACCACCAGCGCGCGGATCTGGGACTCCACTTCTTCAGCTCCAGCTCCAACGCCTCCATCGATGCTTCTCCTGCACACAAGGACAGAGACGGAAGCGACATTTTACGGGGTAAAGAGCAAAGCCAGTAAGTCAAAAGTGTATGGTCAAAGAGGTCGGTAGCTTTAGCTGACCAGCGGCGCTAGCAGGCTAAAGCTACAAACAACAGGCGGATGCTCGAGGGACAGACCGTTTTTAAAGCAGCTTTGTTTGTATAAATGTATTAAGGGTTTGGTCACCCTAAGTAGGAGAATATACTGTACAAAGAAAGAGTATTAAATAGGGCTATCGTGATTATCAATGATAAGAGGCATCCTTTATTATACACCTTCAAATGGTTATAGTCGATATTGTGTTCAAAGATGTGTAAGAAATTGTTCAAAATGATCATTTATCCCTCAAGCAGTTAAGTTTTTAAATTCCTCTTCTCCTAGTAGCAGTTGATGGCCAGTAGACTGGATGTTGTATACTGTAAATAAAATTTCCCTACAGGGACAAATTAAGTTAACTAACTAATTAGAGTTTGCTTGTTTTCACACATGATTAAAAAATGTGGCTAAGAAATATCGAAATTAGGTTTTTTGGACGGGACTCCAATTAACAATCTTTTCCACTGGCCATTAGAAAAAAATCCTTAAGTGTTTAGTAATGTAAAGTCTGATTTTTTTTTCCATGATGGTCTTGAAGGTCTTAAAAAGTCTTAAATTTGACTTGTTTGACCCTGTTTGTTATTGTTTTGATAATGCCTATACTTACACTGTGAGGCCTGTCTTCCTCTGCTGTTTAGGTGTCCTGCCCTGCTGATTGTTGGAGACACATCACCAGCGGTAGAGGCTGTGGTGAGTGCCTAATCAAAAAATGACCTGTTACGTCTACTGGCAATGAGAGAGAACATGTTGTGCTTCCTGAAAGAGTGTGCACTGACATCACGTCTTAAAAGAGTAGATAGCATCTTTTGCAATTGTGTTTGTTTATGCTAGTGCATCACTTATGACAAGAAATGTCACAAATGGGTCAAAGGTGAAAAGGTTTTAATGTAATAATAATGTTAAATAATAATAATGTTAAACACAGCTTTGCTTTTAGTGCATTAGACTGTGTGCTGCAAAATATAATGACTCAGGTTAGTCTCACTCAGTAGCCATCAAGTCAAATAGAAATCATGAAGCAAGAAGAATTATATAACCTGATAAGTGTTTATTTAGGAATGTCAATGTAGCCCTAAAATATTATTATTATTATTATTATTTTTAGTCTTTTTTTTTTAAAGTACTGCTCAAATTATGTGGTTTAATTAGTACATAAATTCATTGTTCGTGCTGAATGATGATTGGATATAATTGTATCTATGTTTTGTCATTTTACTATCACAAATGCTATTTTACACATTTAAGAAACATTTTACATGCTTTTAAATATGCTTTTAATATGGTTTTCTATTTACATTTTAATATGCTTCCCAGTGTTTATAAAATCGCTTCTGTATATAGTTTGATGTTGCCATCAAAACTTAGATGTCTTTGGCCTACATGTATGAAGAAATGAATTGATAAAAACACTATACTACAAATTGCATGACCAGCACAGATAAATTATAGTTTTAGGATGCTTTCACACCTACACTTTTGTTTCGGAACCTGGCACGTTTCCCCAGTTAGTGAGGTTTGTTTGGCATATGTGAATCCAGAAATCAGGCTCAGATCAGCGCCAAAACAATCAGTTCGAAATTGCCTGAACGAAGTGGTCTCGGCTCGATTGAAACAAACTCTGGAGCCAGGCTATATCACGGTGTATATGTAATAGAAATATATATATACAAGAGAATTATGAGTAGGGCAGCTCGTCATTCCTACCGGTAAATGTGCGTTTCATGTCAAATACAAAAATGAAAGCATGCTGAACTATTAACGAGAGCTGTTATCTGTTAGGAAAATTGACCAAACAGCAGTCTTGGTTTATCTATTATTTCTCTCTATAATGTAAAGTCTATAATGCATAAGCCAATGATTATATATGATCAAGTCTTACTTATATTTGGTAACTATATTTGTGGGTGTCACCATTCAAATTGAAAGCGCAGCTTTTCGCCTAAAATGTCTTATTTCTCATCTTCATAAATTAAAATAAGGGCACATGACAGCTGGGCGGGACTCTGCAAAATAAACCGTGAAACTCAGACCAATGTGAGGAGAGTGTACTCGCATGTAATTTGTTTTAGCTCTTTTGGTCCAATTAGAAACTTTGCCATGTTAAAGCGAACCACACCAAGTACAAAGTGCAAATATGTAACAATTTTAATCCCTGTTTCGAAACAAGAAAATCAATCCACAGGTGTGAAAGCACCCTTAAGGCTCAACATTTTTTGCTTGTGTTTTCTATTGACGTTTAACGCCTCGTGACTAAATAAAGGGCATCATTGTGATCGTGCACACCAACGCGCAAAACGGCAGGCGTAAAAAAATCATTAAAAAAAAAAAATGCCTCATGCTCGTTTTTTGTTTTGACGCACCGTGTCAAAACCTTCTTTTGAACTTTTGTTCATGTGCACGGAGCTACTGAAGTTACAGTAAACTGCACTTGGAGGAGCTCAAGTGCAAAACTGTCAATGCGAGCGCTTATTGAAGAAGATGCCCAGCTGCGATATAAACGCGGAGCTGCTTATTGCTCTGGTGAACAATAATAATTTCTTCATTGCTAATAAAAAAAAGTTACAAGTTAAGGGCAATATAAAATATATATAGTTTTAAAAATAGTTACACAGTCGTGGACTTGTTCAGTTTGTTTACGTATACTGAGTTTTCTTTTTCACAAATGCAGTTTAGCTTGTGACTTGACCAGGTGGGATTATTATTTTTTTCTGTCTTTTTCAACAGGTTGAATGCAACTCGAGGCTTAACCCAACCAAGACTACTTTACTCAAGGCATGTCAGCTTTTTCTCGTCCTTTAATATTTTTTGGATACAGACATGTAAACCTGTCAAAATGATTGTTTGGGTTCCAAAGTATCATTTGTGTTCATTTTTGTATTTTTGGGGTGCACTGTTGGTGTTGGTGTGCAACCGATTTGATTGACATTGTAATTTAATTAGATTGGCTGATGTGAAAATTGTAGGTGTGCAATTTATGCACCCATAAATTGTACCTGAATCTGCTTAAAAACTGTGGTCTGGGCTAGGGCACACACCATGAACATACCTGCCAACACTCCTATATTTCCCGGGAGTCTCCCGTATTTCAGATTTCAGATCAAACTCACGGAATTTCACCCCCTTCCTCCGGTGCTCAGTTGTTTGGTACAATCTATAACACAGCTGGATTGCTGACTATTCCGATGGCAGCCGGTGACCGGTGCATAGGACAGATCAGGCACCCCTTCAGGTTGCCCTGCTCCGCTCCCACTTGATCGTACTGAACTTCCTCCCCCACACTTTTTGGTTTTTCCAGCCTTTGTAAAGTACTGGACACAGACACATCCTCACAGACACATAGCTTATCTTATAGCAGTAATCACAATACCGTGATAACCTGTGAGTAAGCTGAATCGGGCTCAAGCACGGTTCACTTGGCTGGCCCTGGCCCGGTTGGAAGAGGTGGGCCTGAGCGCAATTCACTTGGGCAAAGCCCGAAACTGAAAGCGAGACGTAACTTTTAAGGGACTGTTTCATATGGATTTATTAATCATTCTTACTGTTCAGGGAACGCAAACTGCCGTAGTTTATTAAAGACACAAGCCCCTCACTGCACGGCAGCTGCGCACCTTCAGCAGACCTCCTCATTCCTGCAGCACGAGGGCTTTATGATTATGAGCGCCAAAAGTGGCGGATCTGTTTTACGAAATATCTGACTGCATGTCACCGCATCCCTAAGGACTGTTTGGCGAAATATTTGACTGCATGTCACTGCATATCAAACGACTGAAACGATATAACTGGAGAAATCTCCACTGTGCGAGTGAGAGCGCTTCTCACTGAACAGCACAGCAGCGATGACGCAAGCGTGCCGAGGCCCGATTGTGGTGTAAGTGCGGGCCGTCGGGGGAGACGGGAGGGGGGACAAGCGTGCTTTGGCCCAGTTCGAGGCAACTGTACCTAGTGTGAGTACGGCCTTAGACTTTCCAGCTCTTTTCCATGTGCAGGACTTGAAATGGCATTCGTACGTGGTCTGCTACACGTCTGCAAGTTAATAAAAGTGTGGCCTGGTTAATGTTAATAAAGTCAGACTTTGCAACAATACAAAACAATTTATTGAGATTCACAAGATGGTCTCCTTGCAGCCTATTGCGAATGTTTGTCTTGACCTGCCAACACATTAACTGTTAAAATTTAGCTTAAAGCAGCAAAAGTCTTACAGTTTACACTGCTGACTGGGACGGTGAGGGCAATAGAAGCTATTTTAAACTAAAAATAAAGAACTGTACATTTTAAAATTAGAAAGTGGGCCAGTTTGTCTCAAGCGCTATTAGTACACAAGTACATTACTAGTATATGATATTAGTATAAATAAAAATATACTTTTGTACTTGACCTTTGACAGAATGTGCAGGCGAGAGAGACAGAGTGCACGCGAGAGAAGCCCTGTGTTGGCGTGCGAGAGAGGCAGAGTGTGGGTGCTTGAGAGAGACAACAAGACTAAACTATTATTAATTACCATCTCTCGCGTGCACTCGGTCTCTCTTGTCTGCACCTGATCTACGTCACGCTCATTCGGTCTATCTGCATTCGCTTGACTTTTGGACCCGGAGCAGGAGAGCTACTTCGACTGCTACCTGCAGAAGAGGAAGTGCTGCCATCGTCACTAAACTAGGAGAGTTTAAAGAATTCTAATATTTTTCTGTTTTCTATAGGCTGATGCGACATCCTAGCCAGCCTAAATTCATGGGGGTTACGTAAAATCAATGTAATCTTATCAAAACAACATTGGTTATTGTTGTCAAACGACATTCTGAGAGACTACATACAAAAAATAATTTTGAATTAGGATTTTTTACAAGAACTAAACAACAATTGTGAAATTAAAGTGTTTAACTTCTGAGAAACTATCGGTTCTGTCAGATGGGGTGTGCTTTCTCACTCCCATACAGCAGAGTGGCTGTGTGGAACTCCACTGTGAAGGGTTTAGCGAGCAGAAATTTGTAAACGCGCGACCATGTAGAGACACATACTGTTTTGTAAATAAATAAATTAACTTCAGGGGGGCGGGGAAAGCTATTGGGTTGGGCGGGGCGCCACCCTAATATAATGGGGGGAATCCCTGGGTTCAGAAGCAAAAATCACAGGGTGAACAGTCTACGTGGGAGGGTCAATCAAACCTTGGTGCAAACCAGGCAATCAAACCTAAAGTGAATGCACCCTTTGAGCATAGTTGTTCAGTACGTTCCTCATCATCAAAATATATGTATACACTCACTGGCCACTTTATTAGGTACACCTTACTTGTGTACAGAACTACCTTAATCCGTCGTGGCATAGATTCAACAAGGTTCTGGAAATGTTCCTCAGAGATTTTGGTCCATATTAACATGATAGCATCACGCAGTTGCTGCAGATTTGTCGGCTGCACATCCATGATGCGAATTTCCCGTTCCACCACATCTTAAAGGTGCTCTATTGGATTGGTCAATACTCAGACCAGCCCGTCTGGTGCCAAGAACCATCGTTCAAAGTCACTTAAATCACCTTTCCTCCCCATTCTTATGCTATGTTTGAACTGCAGCATATCGTCTTGACCATGTCTACATGCCAAAATGCATTGAGTTGCTGCCATGGGATTGGCTGATTAAAAATTTGCTTTAACGAGCAGTTGGACAGGTGTTCCTAATAAAGTGGCCGGTGAATATGTGTATGTATTGTTGTTTTAAATAAGTTCGGTCCTTAAAATTTAAAATAATAATAATAATTAAGGTTAAATGAACCATAACTAAATGGTCCACATCAAAACCTGAGGTGAATGGAGGCCAGTTCACACTGCACCAGCTGATTCTCATTAGTGGATTGATTTTTTTTTCTTGTCCTTTCTTCAGATGGCAGATTGTGGTGGACTTCCTCAAGTTGTCCAAGTAAGCATAAAAACAACCTGACATGTCAGCCACAGCATCAGGATGGTGTAGTTTTGACTTGTATTGACAATAAATGTCTGTTTCTACAGCCGGGTAAACTTGCTGAGGCTTTCAAGTACTTTGTCCAGGGAATGGGCTACAGTAAGTATCTCTTTTCACACGTTTATCTTATGTGTATTATTTGTATTCAGTGTGTGTTTAAAATGTGTCCCTCGTTTGCATTTTGTGTCTAAGAGCGTCTTGATGTTAGAGAGATGTCTGCATCATCAACAAATCGCTTACTGTGTGTCCCAGTGGTTTAATAATGTGTGTCATAAACACTCACACTGTTACATCTAAAACAGCTGCAGGCTTATGACTCGTTCAGGGTGTAGGTGTGAGTGAGTACAACTTGCCTGCTCAAAGAAATGACTTTTAACCCATATTATTGTCAGTATGAAAACAAAAACTGCCACATTGGAACTTTTACCCACTTCTTAAAACATCAGAATGGTATTCTTGAGGAAAGCTGGTCTGAGATCAGTAACTCAGGCCCTCTGCTGCACTAACACATGACTTGTCTCCCATGTGGCTGTGCAGTGATGCGTTCTTCAGCGTGTAAGTACACTAGTCTTCCTCTAAGAGCATGCGGTGTGGCATGAGCCCTGTGTGACAAACCTTCTCTGAGCTTCGGGTTTAATGTCTTTCTCTATTAGATCTTCTGACTGCACAGTGGTTTGCACAGCATGTTAAAATTCTGTAATATACCTTAAAGTCTGTATTTAAGGTTTCCTACTCTTAAGCCAGATGTCAAACTCTCTGACTAAAAAGTGGATTTTTCATGACCTATAATGAGCAGTGAGTAGACAAACAGAAAGACCTGTTTAGCATTCAGTACTAAAGAAGTTTGCCTTATGCGATTCAAAGGCCTTGTTATTCTTTTTAATTATTTTTAATTCAATTAATAAAGTAAGTAATTATTTATTTACACAAATCTTAAGACTTTTGATATGTGACTAAATACCAGTTGCCGAGGCAAAAAAAAGTGTAATTTTTTTGATGCAAGAATTTGTCATTGTACTGTTTGATTCAGAAAATGAGAACTAATTTTGTTTTTTGCTAAAAGATTGAAACAATTGATGTCTTAATTATTCTTTATATAATATACTGTAACTCTCTGACTAATATGCATCAATAAAAAGGAGTTAAACTAAAACCTGGAACTTAATTAGCTGTATTTATAATTGGCCTTTTGTAGCACCTAATATAAGCTACTATTAAACTAATTACCTACTATTAGCTACTATTAATTACCAAGTCTAAGGGAAAACAACATGGGCATAACAAAAGCAGTAAGATGGTGGGTGGTGGATTTCGCAAACAAAATAAAAACCTTATCCAACAGATCTCCTTTGGTCAACAACCAAAAGCGAACACTCAGTTGATAGTTAATAGATTTATTTTAGAAAAAAAGTTTCAATTTATGTGAGCATCTTTTCAGTGTGTCCACAGGCTGAAATAACAATTAAAAGAATCTGTAAAATAAATAAACTGAACATAAACAAAGTCAAAAGTTATGAAAATAAATAAGCAGGTGACCCCTACAAGCTCAAACTTTCAAAAGGTTGCAAGCATACTGTACATGGGCATTTAGACAAGAATAAAGGTTGGTCGTCTGTCAGAGGAGTAGGGAAATTCAAGAGCAACAGTTGCACCAAAAAAGAGCTCCTCAAACTCTGCCAGAAGTTCCCTTTTATCTGGACTCTCTGTGACCAGCAGCCAATCAGATTCTGGAACACTTTAAAATGGGAGCCAATGGGAAAACACAAAACAACACATAAGGCGGGACGAAGAAAGAGACACATGCAATGCACAACAAAAGTAAATAATGCCGAGTTCAGACTGCAGAGACAGCATCACACTCTCTCTTATTCACATACACATAGACAGCACCAAGCTCTCTCTCTCTCTCTCATTTACACACATACGTAGACAGCATTCACACACTTACATATGCTTGCTCGATCGTTTGGGAGTCGGGATGGATATTGTTAGACGGCCAGCTCCCGTTCAAATTTTACTAGTTACCGACTGCTCCCATGCTTTATTCAGAAATTAATTCCTGTGCAGCAAGAAATCTGGTCGGGTCGCGTGGCTCCCACGGTACAGCCGGGGAATGCAGACCTCTATTTCACACTGCATGACTTTAAAATAGGAAGAATTGCTGACAACTTTGTCCAAACTACGAAAGACGGAAACAACACGAGGTCACATTATATATTTTGCTATTTACTACATAATGAGAAAGAAGCCTTAAGTCGGGTAGAAAATGTAGCCTACTTGTTTTGCTCACCTGGCTTTGAAGGGATTAGCAATTTCTCTCAAAATGTTCTCTTTTTTTCTTTATCGAGTGGTTGTGGTTTTGCTCAGATGATGCGTCAAACAGACATGGTGCTCCTGCCAAATTTCCACTAGTTTTTCCTTCATTTCTTGGGTCCAAAGAAACTGAAAATGAGCGCTTTTAACTTCTCCCCTATCCTCCCGCTGTCCACCGGGTACACACACTAGTGAATGCTGCTCTCTCATTGGCTGTAGGTGATCGTTGATGTTATTGTCAATCAGAACACATTTCACATGACATGATTTGAATCGCCAACATGTCCAGATATTTAGCATGCCAATATCTGACAGGTGTCGGCGACTTCTCTGCGATTCTTTCAGATCACGTCTTTGATAGTTCACACTGCGTGATTGTTCCTCACGTAAACAAACACTGTGATGCCTGTGATTTCAGGCATTTGTCAGCGATTTCTCAAAACCTTTCGTCGAGTCAAAATCAGGGGCTAAAATCTTGCAGTTTGCACTTGGCATAAGTAAACTTTAGTCATAACAGCTGCACTTTTATTACAGCAAAAAATAACAAGTCATACAAATTACATTTTTTTATTAATTAAAAGTAAATTTGTTTAATGACAACCAAAAATCACTGGAGGTGGTTCAAAAATGATTTGGAGGAAGAAAAATAATAAAACTAAGAAATTCCCTGACCTTCAATGCTTGGAATAGACATTTTAAAATTCCATGATATTCTGGAAGTTTCATGACCTGTGGGAGCCCTAATATTCAGGATCTCATCTTTAATCAGATGTTAATTCAGTGATCTAAACATTAAATAACATTTTTGAACCTTCTAAAGCCATTTTGTTTTTAGGATTCTGATGAAAGTTTTAAAAAATAAAAATGGTAGTAAGGTTAGGCGATGTCGACCAAATTGGCATCATACGATGTCTAATGTGAAACATCGCGATGGATGATGGCATCGTCGTCGTAAGCTCGCTGAATTAATTATTTATGAATAATTATTTATTCCATAACAAATTAATTATTTGTAGCCTACTGTTTCAACTACCCGAACTGCATGCTATTTGTTTTACCCATAACCAAATCATAAATAAATAAATAAATAAAAGTTACTCGCAAATTACCATATGTCCATCACTTTTTCCGCGGGTATGAATGGGCAGAGTGATCTGTGTCGTCATAATGGCATTGACAAACTTGGTTGGTAAAAAAGGTGCACAAGCATCAGCAACCGACCAACAGCATCCGAGGGTTTAGCTAAAATTACTAATTACAATCGTAAAAGCGAAGGATTGAAGCAGTGTACTGACGTTAGATAGAGACAAGATGAACTAAATATCACGTTTCACAACTATAGTGAGACGCGATACATCCTTGATAAACTGTCCGACGCGCACTGCTCTCTGAGGTTTTGTGCTCAAAGCATCCGCTGACTGCTGGAGCTCAGACGCACGCATATGCTGCTGCAGCGCATGCATATCTTTTTTGGAACATTATAGATGTCTTTACACTTCTTTATTACTAAATGCAAAACTCTAAACAGTACACCCGTTAAAGAGATAATTTGCCCAAAAATGAAAAGTCATTATTTACTGTTGCTCACTCTGTTCCAAACCAGTTTAAATTTCTTTCTTCTGTTAACTCAAAGGAAGATATTCTCGAGTATGGTCGTGGGAAAAACATGACTTTCATGGTATTTTTGTTTCTACTATGGAAGTCAATGCTTGCTTTTCCCCCCAACATTCTTTTTTATTTTGTGTTCAACCTAAGAACGTTTTGTGAATGGTGAGGAAATTGTCATTTTGAGATAAACTATCCCTTTGTTTGACAATCCAGAGAGTGCATTTCTGTCTGACATGTACACTTGTGTTTTTCAGAATGTGAAGAAACGTGATCGAAAGTAGCTTTACTCATTTGAAAATGTTCACATTTTAATGTGATTAGTCACATTCTTCCTCCGTAAGCCACTAATCTGATCTTCAGATCTTGTTGACCTTTCTGGTTAATCTCTGTTCTTATGTTTCTACCGACAAACAAAGCCCTCTCGTCAAGAAACACACTAAAAACACACACTGTGTAAGATTTACACCTTTTAATGCGGAAGGCAGTTTAAGGCTCTTTGATTTTGCTATAGTCTTATTTGGATTAAAGGTCTAAAAATTGCCCTTCATTTGCCTTCTGAAACTAAGTGATATTATTTATTATCATATACAAATAGAGCACGTTAGTATACACAAATTTAGAGATTTGTATTAGTTTAAATGTTATAAGGCATAAACCAAAACAACCACCTATGAGGAGATCCAAAAAAATGAACTTTGACCTAAAGTATAGCAAAAGTGTTTGTAAAGACCAGACAAAAAGGACAAAGATACAAGACTGCAAAATAAAGCTTGAAATCATTCATGAAGAACTACAATCCCATGAAGCATTGTAAATGAATTGTTGCTTGTGTTTATATTTACGCATTTTGAAGGAGACAAACTCGATGACATCATTTGCTGCTCTTTATTGGAGTAGGCAGAGTTAAAAATCTTAGTGCACTTATTTTACAACAACTCTCTGATTGGTGGACTTTTCTCTAGTGGTCATGGGTAATGCAGTTTTTCGCATATATATATATATATATATATATATAAAAATTATACCATTTAACATGAATTATACTATTAAACTTTAAAATGTACAATAATAAGTTGAATTATTTTGAACAGTGGGTTAAACTAATTATAAGCAATCGATTAACAGCCCCAGAGTCTTCTTATGAAGAAAAATAATGAGTTTTTACTTCCAGAATTTAC